CCAGCAATTTGTTGAATTACGCCCTTGGGCATAGAGCACGCAGCTGGGAACTTTGCAAAACACACACAACGGACAGTTTGCGGTATATACCAAAGTTTTACTCAGGGAAAAAAGAGAAGTTGTTGGAGGTAGCATGCACTGGAGTGACACCTTACTCTGCGAATGTCAAGTCAGCGAGGGTAATCAAGACCTTGCCCAAATTGGTTTGACACAATATCGTAAATCTCCGAATATAAGCCCTGGGCTTATATTTGGGGCTTACATTAAATACGGACGCCTTTTTGTGTTAGTAATAATGTTTATTGTACCTGAAAACTACATCTTGAACGAAAAGAAATATAAACAATAAGCCCATGGGGGCTTATGAGATTAAATTCGGAATGGTCTGAGTGTCAGTGAGTATGGTGGGCTTATACACGGGGGGGGGGGGCTTATATTTGGATGTTTACGGTATAAAACTAATGTGTTCCGAAAAAAGTGTGCATGAATATACTATACACAATCTATTAAAAAAAAAAGATTTAAAAAAATATCGGCCGCTGAAGATTTAAAAAACTATCAGCTGGTAAACTATTATTTGTAACCAACGCTATAATTCTCCGAAAATTTCACAGTTCTTGTCATTCTGACTTTCCAGCCGGAGTTTGGGAGAAAACACAGCAACTCCGGCTGACCAAAATACGCCGGAGATCTGGCCTCCGGAGCACAGCCCTAGGCTAAATGAATCGAGAAGAATAGTACTACATGTCCACATTGTAAGATTTAAAATTTACATTCGGTGCGCAAGTTTAACAGTCTGTTAGTTTGTTTGGAAATGAAATCATAACCTCAGTGGTAGTTATTCAAAAATGACATGTCTTCGCGCTTGTGGTGCACTTGTTTAAGCCCCCGCTGTTTTGCGTATTCGCTCTGTAGTACCATGCCTGGTCATGGTTAAAATCCCCTTCAACAGAATATAAGAATTTTTTAATAATAAAACAGTCAAAAATACTAATTTTCACAAATCACTTCTCAAAGTACACGCGTTCCACACTATCTACTCCTACAGCTGCCTTAACATTCGATATCTAAATTTTTCACGAAACATTTTTCTATCTAGGGTGGCGGTTAAATTTGATCAAATTTCCAGAAATCGATTCCGGGGGACTTCTCGACCTATTAAATTTTACACTTTGACACATTACAATTTGCGAATAAAAAGTCATAATTTGTCAAGATTGAATAACTATTTCTATTGTTCAGACTACAAGTCGCTTTCTCCGTACAGAGCAGTTGAGAAAGACATGTAATCCAGGGCGCCATCAACGGTGTCTTCTCCTTCGTAAGGTGCCATTCTTGCAATGCAGTATTCTGCTTGATCAGGTGGTAATTCTCGGCGTAATTCGTCTGCCGTAATATAAGGCTGAAAGAAAAATGAATGATTTCATTCGTATAAAAATAGCAACATATTTAATAGCGTTATACACTCCAAGAACACCCGCTTAAAATTTTCCTGCTTAACCTGGTCATAACTCCAAATTTTTTGTAGGTAGCGAAAGAATGTAGCTGTATCACCTATAAAGACCACCGTCATTTTCAAAGCGGTCTACGGCTTGAATCAGTTGAATGACGTCAAGACTAACCTTATCACCAGCCAGGATTTTGAACGAGTCCATGACTTGCTCAGCCGTGTCAGTATCGGCGACTTCCCGTGTCATGAAGTCAACAAAAGCTTGGAATGTTACTTTGCCTGTTTCATTTGGATCAACGGTGAGCATAAGACGACTGAATTCTTCTTCACCCTACACAAGAGTGCATTATAACATTACGGGAAGTAAGTCAAGTCACGAGTTTTTGTTGCAAGTCCAAGTGAAGTCACAAGCCATTTTTTGTAAGTCCAATTCAAGTGCCAAGTCAGTTTTGACAAGTTCACGTCAAGTCATAAGTCATTTTTTGAAAGTCCACGTCAAGTCATAAGTCACTTTGTCCGAGTCCAATTCAAGTCATTTTGTGCAAGTCCAAGACTCCAAGTTAAGTCATTTTGAGTGCAAATCAAGGGGAGAATTTTAATTCTTCTCCCTTCCGGAGCGGAATTTCTCTTTGTCTTTTCTAATTAGTTCCACCCAAGAAATCACAAGACAGAAAAATTCAGCTCCGCGCGCAAAATTCTGCCTAGTTGAAAACCGGCGTAATGGTTGACACAGAGTTTACCTGAATTTTACTTCCTCTACTTTGGCAAACCTCCCCTCTGTGACTCGTACGGCTGTCGTTTCTAGCAGCGAGAAACACGGTAAAAAATACGAGCAACTGTGCCGAGCTTCCATCACTAACCTTTTCTCCTTCTTTCAAATTATAACCCAAACTGATGAGACACATCTTGAATTCATGAGGTTCTAAAGTCAATGACTTGTCCTGCAAGTAAACACAATTGATTATTTCAAGTAAAATATGATAAACACCCCTATTTTTAAACCTTAAATCATTTCTAATATCTGGAGGGATACCGGATGAAATTATCTCACTATATCCAGCCGTATATGATATCTGGTGCATCCCTAGTACATTGAAGTCTTCAGCTCGTCATATAGTTGGACTGGGTTCTATGATCTTTCAAAGCACCCCCCCCCCCCCCGTGAGAATTGCAAGGTCAAGACCCTCATACTGAGAAAAACCATTAGCCCCGAGAAGAATTCCAGGTCTTAGGTCCCGCTTACATGAGACTGGGACGAATTCAAACCGGAATGAAAATTGAAATTGTCAAATGTTTACATGAGACCGGTACGAAAATCACAAAATTTTTCATTTATTCCCCTCCCTTGCCAGGTAATTTTCTTTTTTAGATGGCTTTTGTTAGCATGTGTTGTTCCAATGTCAAGGTTACAGCGGAGACCAGTCTGAAATGTATTTGTGTTTACATTCATCCCAGTCTGAATTCATACCGGTCTGAAATCAATCGGCTCAGCCCAGCATGCGGAATGACTTGAGATCGGCCCGAGTTATTTTCGTCCCAGTGTCATGTAAACATCTATTATAAATAATACTATGACCGAAACGAAATGGTCTCGGTTTGCTATCCTTGACACCCTGGGGGTGCACAGATATTAAACAGGGTTCGTAGTCTCCAAGACCAAAAAAATTCAAAGACTTTCAAAGATTTTTTCTGCCTATTTTGAAAGACTTTCAAAGACCTTTGAGAGCAAACAGCTGTCGAAAAATTGAAAAGTGTACAAGCACCATTGTTAACCAGTAATTAGTCCCGTCAAATCACCGTCCTAAAATGCGCCTTTTCGTCCATATTTGCGAAAATCTTGCTTCAATCAATCTATTTTATTAGCTAGGAAATCGTATAATCAAATACTCACTAAAGAATTTAAAGCCTTTTAAAGACTTTCTTCGCTTTTTCACACAATTCAAAGATTTTTCCAAGACCTTAAAGACCTGTATTCAAATTTAAAGACTTTCAAGGATTTCAAAGACCGCTACGAACCCTGTTAAATGGAACAGCCCCACGTATACTCAAAACTGAAAATAATCCATGAATCGTGAAGACTATGAGTTCATTAAAATATTTTCTAAAGAAAAGAGGTGGTTTCTTACTCTGTCGAAGTGATTGAACGAGGCTCTGAAGTCTTTCATTTGATCTTCTGTGATGCCCTTCGAGTCCCTGGTCAATATCTACAAACAAACAAAATTTGCTATTAATAGTATTAATATAGTAGGAGTAATCCTAATAGTATTAATATAGTAGGACTGTAGGAGTAATTCCAAAAGTATTAATATAGCAGGAATTAGAGCTGCTCCCAATTAATCGTGTTTTCCGCAATCGTTTATACTTCACAATAATCGGATCATCTAATTAACAACCTGCACAGCATGATAGATTCATCAGTATTCAGGGTTCGTACATGTGAGGAAGAGTCAAATTCAAGGACAATTCAAGGACTTTTCAAGGACATTCAAGGCCATGTATCAGCAAATTCAAGGACTGTAAATACTGAAGAAAAGGGGTTAGAAATCAGTAAAATCTGACGTTGAATTTTTCAAAACGCAACTTTAATGAGTTTCAAACAGCTTTGTCAGATATGAACATGGAAAATCAATTCAACAAAATGTCCGTTTTTGAATGTCAAACAATTTCAGAAAATATCAAAAAACTAAAGCAAGAAGAATTCAAGGACTTCCAAGTACTTCTTTACAAATTCAAGGACAAACAAGGCATTGAATTTTTGTTTTCAAATTCAAGGACATTCACGGACTTTCAAGTTTTGTACGAACCCTGAGCATTTTCATGACCGACAGGTAACTTTGATTCTGATTTAAGTTTTCAGTAAGTTTTCAGTATAAGATCGACATATAGATCTACATATAGCTTTTATTTTTTTTTCATAGATGGTTTTATTAACTTTTGAAGATTGAAAAATCGTTTGGAGTTGGCAAATCGCATTCGGTGCCTTTATGTACAAGAAAGATTTAAACATCGTCATTGTCTTGCCAGTTGCCTACTTGTGTGAACTCCGACTGAATTGTTTGTAAAAACAACAGGGAGGTATACGTCAAACTTAAATTGGTTAATCAATACGATTAATCGATATTAATCGATTGTCAATAACGATGATTCGAAAATGAAAATGATGATTATGAAAAAGGGAGCGGATGGGAGGAGCTGTAGTATACTAGGAATAATTCTACTAATAGAAGATTAGCTCGGCTATTTACAATGCGTTTTTGTAAGGTCATCATGATCGCAGACACTTAGCTACGTCACTTGGAGGTCACCTCACAGCTGACCTCTAAAATACGGCAGAGGGCAGGAGTGTATTCAGGCTTTAAAGTATCTAACCTTGGCATTACTGTGTTTTCAAAGAAACCAAATACCTGGTTTTCTACAGCGTTGATATTCCTAGCGATCCCAGTCAACAGTTGTTCCCAGCCGACACGTAATACCTACAAGTACACACACAAAATTGACAGTGAAAAGAGTTGATCAAGATGAGGTTTTCTACAATAAAGATAAATTCGACTGTATTATTATATTCAAATAATGAATGAAGTGGAAGATGGGATTTTCATTCTACTCGGCTCGTTCATCTTTCAATGAATGAAAATATTTTTACGAATATAATAAATTCCAAATATAATAAAAATCCAACAAAAACGTCCCAAAAATGTCTTAGTGGAGAATTCATTTAATAATGGAGTTTATTTAACTATCTATCTATCTTCCAATACAGCAAACCCCTCAGTATGAGGATTATTAGCTGGGGTCAGCAGAATATATACATGTTGCTAACCCAAGGTATCGTAAAATAATAGTTTTTATTATACCAGGTCCAGCCATGTTCGCACGAATTATGTGTTTTTGCGTTAAATTCCAGGGATTAAACGCGTTCCATTGTACGCTCAGCAAAATAATAATTTTTATTCCATATCCCATGATCATAATCAGTCAATTAAATGAACAGAATTTAACGAGGTGTTACATTACTTCTTTAGAACGACCCAAAGCAGCTAGGCTAGTGGCACACTTTAACAACAGGTTCCAAACTAAAATGGAACATGGAAATGTGGTCTTACCTCCATTGAATACTGCGTGTGAGGATTTTCGAATATGAGAGCTTGTTGTACACCCTAAAGTACATAATATAGAAAGATTAGGGATTACATTCCATACGAATATAATATTAGGGTGAAATTTGACATATTATGTTAATTGTTAAGACAGGACTACTCAACTAACTCCAACATAAAGTGTATTGTGGTTTATTACTTTTGACAGAAAATAACTGAATGTTTATTTAAAAAAATGACTAAATTTGCTCATAAATCTGAGTAATTTTGCTCAATAGTTTGAGTCAAAAGTGTGGTTTAAAAGGGAACGAGAAAATTCGTATTTTTGTCATGCAAATTTAAAAAAATAATCTGTGGCTCTGCAAGTTTTGCTACATTTTCAAATACGATAACCTACTGTATACTATGTACACTTTAAGCGTTCAAGGTAGACGCTGAAAAAGTATACATGGTATTCAATCTCGACTATCGAATACAACAGTGAGCGTTTTCTATACTCAAAAATATGCAATTAATTTACCTGGTTAATATCTTCCAAATCGTCAATGTTCGGTTTGTAAGCAGTACACGTCTTTTCAAAGCTTTGCAGTACTTTGAGGTTATCCTTAAAAGACAGAAGGCGACGTTAACGACAACTTAAAGTACATTCTTACACCTTCCCTAACATTATTAACAATGTTCCGAGAATAGACCTTTCCCCTTATGAGTGAAATTTTGATCTAGATATGCCTGGACAAAAATTTCATCACAGCTTGAAAGAGCATCACAAAATTAGTAATACTCCGACGTTTCGTTGCGAAATGTTGTAAAAAATGCGGATAATATAGCCTTGCGAAGTTTACCGCTTTTCAGTCATTTTGCATTACAAACGGGAAATTGATAATCAGATGATCAAACTGATTATCAATTTCCCATTTGTAATACAAAATGCCTGAAAAACGGCAAACTTCGCAAGGCTATATTATTCGCATTTTACAACATTTCGCAACGAAACTTCGGAATATTACTAATTTTGTGATGCTCTTTCAAGCTGTGATGAAATTTTTGTCCAGACTTGTCTAAATCAAAATTTCACTCAAAAGGGGAAAGGTCTATTGAGAAAAGACTGCGTTGCCCAGATGTTACGCACAGAATAAACCAGATGCAACAAAGAGCATGTCCTGATATCCAGAAACGGCCGGGGCCGCCTTTTTCAAACATTAAGGGGGGTCCCCCCACCCCCGACAAGTCCCCCACCCTCAGGATTTACGCCCCTGGATCCAAGTTCATGATGGGGCAAAGCTGTTTCAAACATAACTTTTATTAAATCCATTATATATCCTTTGTCTTTTTGTGAAACAGGAGCAATTACCGAGCATGCAGAAAATGTTTTCGTGGTGTAAACCCCTTATATAAAGGAGCTAAATAGCATACTAAAATAACGGAAGCATTGTCCAAGTACTGCCATTAGTATCCAGTTATTATCCAGAACCCGTGGTTATCCTCGTTTCAGGAAAACCAAAATGGGTCATTGGAACCGCGCAAGTAGAATAGCAAGCACATTACCTCCAAAGTTTTGTGATTTTGAACACCAATGTTTCGAAGTTGTTCTGTTTGTGTTTGAATCCAAGGTCCACAGACGTTCGCCTTGTTCGCGAAGTTTAGTCGTAGTTGTTCGTTAGCTGGATATACGAGTTAAAGACATAACAATATACTAAATATGTATACATTGTAGTCGCTGTATGCGTTTAGAATGGTTAATAGCAAAAAAAGCTAAATATGGAATTCAAGAACTGGATTTAGTTGAACATTCGTGAACAGCTAGACATGGATCTATAACCAGTTTTCGTAGAACACTGACCCCAAACTCAGTATGCGCACGATAATGCGCAGACGGGCAAAAATTGTCAAGACCGTCTTTGCCATCGTACTGTAATTCGTTCTCTTGCTCAAACTCTTTATTTTCTCATAGTCCGAATAACTGAAGGTGTATTATCTTGGATACTACTTCAGTTGGTACAACGAGGTCAGTTTGTCGCTGTTGTGTCCGGGTTGTACCATTCTCCATATCATAGTTTCAAGATTGAAATAGAAAAGGATACATTGTTGGTTATGAAGTTCTTTCTTCAAAAGATCTTCACGTTGTGGAACTAATTCGAGAACCTCAGACCACCTCTGACGAATGTCCTATACAAACAGCAACAATATAAAATTATATGGTCTTGCATATTTTATTGATATTTTAACATATCTTTCGTTGTAATACTCCTGCTTTATCATCCTTTTTTTGTAAATAGCATATATTCTAAAAAACACTTTTTTCATTACTTTAACTGTAAATATATTAATTAACCTCATTATAAACCACAACTAGGGGCCTAAACAAAAAAGCCTGTAAAGGTTTCTAGTAGGTCCCTAGCCAAATATCATAAGAAGATACTGTATTTGTTTGTAATTATTAAAATCTGTTCATAGGGGAAATAAAATAATAACAAAATATACAGGGTTTAAAATAGCAGCCGGCTGCCACCGGCATTTTTACAGCACTAGCTGGCGACTCCTAAATTAGCAACAACGCGAGTTTTTCTTCTTGATTCATTGGTCTATACAATGAACTTATAACTTTGAATTAAAAAGATGCTGTCTTGTCATAAAAAGATCGCATTAGCATTGTGGTAGCCATGAATTTCTGGTAGCCATGAACAAGGCGAGAATCGTAACTGCATGTATGATGAAAATCAATGCCCATTTTATTTTGTGCTGGCTTATTTGAATTAATTACCTGCATAATGCTGGACATTGATTTTCATCATACAATTTTTGAAAAGACTTCTTGATATTTAAAAAGACTGTTGTTGTATGCGTTTTAAACACAAAAATTTCTATTCCTGCGTATTCTATTTTAAATCGCCGGTACAAAAAAGCTACACGCACCAAACAGCCTACAAATATATCTAAATTCAAATTATTTACTTTAAACCCTGATAATATACTGGGGATATTTAGGGCTGTTTATACGAGCCACAGGCTGAGTCTGCTTAGCTGGAATCTCAAAAGATAATGAAAACCGCCTGCCTACGATGCTTGCCGACAACCGCAGAATAGAAATCGGCGACTTGAAAACCAGCCTTTATATTTTAATTTAATTTTCGGTGCCTACTAATAATTATCTGCGAAAAAAATCGAAGTAACGGGAAAAATCAACAAACCTCCGGGGTGAGGGTGGTGTAGGGGTTATCTGTGCACCCCAAATCGTTCATTTCAGATACTAGAGCCATAATTGAATCGAATTCATCGTTTGCTGCCGACATGTTGGCTTTAAAAGCTTCGTGTGCATCCAGCAGTTCCTAAATAAGTATAAAAGAACATTTATAGTACGTTAGCGCTGATTGGTCGAGAAGCGTGTTTCTCAAACTGTATGGAAACACGGGAAATTTCCGGTCTCGCAGCCATGATTTAAATTTTTAAATCGTAAACAAAACAATTTTAAGACGCAAAAAAATGCGTTATATTACTACTGTTAACAACCAAGTTAACGAACCACAAGACAAAAAGGAATTCTCAGTTTAAATAAAGAACTTGACTATTTTATAATCAATTTGAAGACCAAAGCTGGGTAACCGATCGAGTGAATTGCGAAATGCATATCTGATATGGAAAGTAATTTGTTACGAAAGTATGGTCTGATATCGTGTAACAGCGGCCTTATTAATATGTTGGGGTGATTTTACTGACTCCTGTTATAGTTCGTCTAATAATAACATGTTTTTGAGCAGTTCTTTTTTGACCGTCACTGTAAGACCGTCACTTTTTGACCGTCACTTTTTTGACCGTCACTTTTTTGACCGTCACGTGGAGAAATAATTCAACATATACAAGTCTTAAGCATACCTGAATTTCTTCAACAGTATGAACACTAAACATGTCCATGAGATCTTCCTTGGCTCCTTCCAACCAGTTATTGAATGGCTATTTAAGAAAAACACAACCAAAATTCTGTCACCGTGCAAATATTCCGGATTTCAAGGATCAAGAATGGATTTACTGGGAGGGGGTGGTGGTTGCACATCAATCTTAACCAATTTCCTTATCAAGTCCATATTTTTTTATTTGGAAAGGCAATTACAATAAACGGGAATATAATGACAAAATGAGGTACTGGCAGGATTGTGACTACAGACAAGTGCCTTGCTCCCGTAGTTCTCTCTGATGATTACGGACTAGGTCCATGGTCGCAACCTAAACCGTGAACAAAGCTTGATGAGCATAATCGTCATCTTTATACATTTATAGGCAGTTATAAAGTTAGCAGACATATAGAAATTCATGTAGAGAATTCTTCTACTTTCTCATCAAAACTAAACTTATTTGCAATGACGTCATTTCCGGTAACTTTAACAGCCAATAAATCCAAAACTTAACAAGAACATTTTGCCGGAAAATCTACAATGCAACTCTTCTTAAAACAGCCCAAATATGCATGCCCTAATACTATACTGCGCAACCTTCATTACGGAAATGTATGAGCGACCTTACAAACTATGCGTGGTACTTACTGCAGCCTTCTTTGCGAATTCCAGACGTAGCATATCTATTTGTTCCCTGCGAGCTTTCGCATCCTACAAAGGAAGGATTTTAAAACATCTTAAGTAATAAAAACAGGTTGTAGTTAGCAATTTTTTCTATGTCGGGTATGTTCAAAACTTGAAAATTTTCTGGGGGATACCTCCAAAAATTACTTTGTTCTAGCTTTATTTTCTAGTTTATCCAGTTGGCTACAATTTTAAATGCATCGCCGGTTGAGGAGCATAAAATAACAGTAAAAAATTAAAATAGAGTTATCAATTACTGTGCTTTAAAAATCGACGCCATGCATGCATATTTATAGCGATATAAGCAGACATCATTTTCTCTTTGGCACACACCATCTAAAATATCTTCATTATTTTATGGATAAAGTACTGTACATGCATACTTTTTAGTTTGTTTGCCGATTGAGAAACGTTATCAAAAAATTGGAAACTGTGAATGACTAGCTTGTATCCCGACTAGATATTACAAAATATCATACACTAGGGTAATGCTGAATGTTTTTGGTGGTCTCCCAATAGCGTTGAATACTATGAGTCTGCCTTCTTGAAAATAACTAGTTTTATTGAGAGGGTCTTACCTCCAAGGCTTGTCTTCTATCCACAGCCAGCTGACCCAGTGTGTCCCAACCATCGCAAATTGACTGAAAATAGTCGAACAATAAAGATCTGTAAGTTTGCCAGCTGTTCAATTGGTCAAAGTTTTACGATACAAAATAAAAGATTTAGCCTTAGTTCACGTAACTAAATATTGGCCGCGCAGAGAATATTCCCAGAAAAAAGTGTTTCTCAAACTAATTAATAATTCATGAGAAAAACACAAAGGAAACCAGCGTTAATAAACGCCGAAAAATTAATATGCGCCTGTAATATAAACACTTTAGATGCCCATAAATTAACATACGCCTGTAATAAACGCTTTAAACGCCCATCAATTAATATACGCCTGTAATAAACGTTGTATATTACATCAACGTCTGCAAGACTTACCTGACAGCGTGAATTTACTGCGTCGATCTCGCTGTACTTTAGGGCACTGAAAAAATTTAAGAATTTAAGTCCGGGTCGAACGAAGTTTTTAATGATTGACAGCAACTTGTTTTTTCGTTGCAAAGCTCTCTATGATAGTAATAAAAATTCTTTGTATTGTTACATGAATCCTCAACTCAACTCAACTGAGCATGTGTAGATCGTACATACCGACATATACTGAATATTAATGAAGCGAACATTTTCAGAAAATATATATCCAAAAACTGAAGAAAGAAGAATTCAAAGACGTTCAAGCACTTCTTATAAACGGACTTTCAAGTTTTGTGCACAATTAAAAACACTTAATTAAATTTATACATTCGTGGAATCTTCAACAAAGAAAAAACGTTTATTTAAACGAAGCCATTTTGTTCGATATACTTACTTTAGTTCTTGTGCAATGGCGGCGATTTGTTCGACACGATCTTGATGTGCGGCCAGATCACTCTCAAATGCTTCATGTTTCTTAATCAGAGCCTGAAAGGAAAAACATTAAAATGTTGAAATACAGAAGAACCCCGCGCTAGGTCGAACTCGTCTATCTCGAACTCGTCGCTACACACGTAAAAATGTCACAACTTGTCAACAAGATGTGTTCGCAACAGGCTTGAAACAAGCACCTCAACAAGTTGTAACAATGCTGTTATTTTATTAAGTTGCTACAAGGTCGTTGGAACAACTTGTAACAAGGCCCAAAAAAATATGTGGGTTTCCGACTTCCTCTTGTAAAAACTTAGGTGGGGTAGGTCGGTTTTAACTTCTTTATCTTTTTTTTAAACTTTTTTTTACGCCATTTTGTTTAGTCAGTGCTTCCATATCCAAACATAAATTTCCCTAATATTGCCTCAAATTTTCATTTTCCATAAACGTTTTCCTCTAAGTGGAAACACTTACAAGCGCGATCCAATAAAAAAGTTTAGGGTCGGGATTTTGGTGTCCAAAAGCTAGGTAGGGTCGGGAAACCGGAAACCCACATATATTTTTTTTGGCCCAAGTTGTCAACAAGGCGTTGAGAACTTGTCAACAAGCTGCGAACGAGCAGTGCGAACACATCATTTTGACAAGTTGCTGGAACAGCATTGCTACAAGTCTGCTGCAGGTTTGTTACAACTTGCGCGTTTTTACGTGTCTCGAACTAATACTGCCTCCCTCGACTGAATTTAATGACTTTAAACTCAGTTCTGAGCGTAACATGTACGTAAAACGGACTATAATTATAATAAAGGATTCACTCCTTCAGTTTGAGTTACAGCACAGCTGTAAAACAAAGCTGTATTGAAAATCTTTATTGTATACAGTGAGCGTTTATTAGATCGTCTATGGTCTTTCGAAATAATTTGAGTAATCATACCAAGATATCAGCTAGATTGGCATCAGTGTAGTTGTCTTGTTGCAGCATTTCTGGCTTGCCTTCCGTCCACGCTTCATGAATGTCGCATTTGTGCTTGAATTTTGCTGCCAAGTGATCCAATCTCTCCATCCTGGGATCACGAAAACAAAGTGTATACACTATATATCAGGGCAGGAAAAAAGAATTTGGTTCCTGGGAGCACAACCTGGAGACAAAAGTTTCCTGGAGACCATCGAGTATTTTTGTGCTAAATCCACATTGTGCATAAACATAATATAGTGTTCTAGCTGACCATGATTTTAAATTCAAGGAATAATGTCTGCCAACCATACGTTGTTGCGCCCATAGTGGGACACGGGTGTTAAGGTTTCCTTCAAATTTCAATAGCAAATCTTCATTCAAACGAATTTCCTGCAGCTGTTTAACATTTCCTGCGAGCAGTGCTCGCGTGCTCGTCTATTTTTTTCCATCCCTGGGGTCGGTTGTTCGAAAGCCGATTGGCTTAAACGGTTAAACCCTAGGTTAACCTTCTAAGAAAACTTCCTGACAGCTTGTCTATAAATTTGGAAATATTTCTTCACAAATCTTGGCTGGTGGGTCGATAGGAGTTTACTACTTCGACTTCTTGAATTAAACAGACATGCAGAATACACAAACCAAAACAGCAGGTTAAACTTGAACCGAGGGTTAGCGTTAATCCACGTTTGAACAACCTGCACCAGGTGTATATATTAATGAAATGGGTTTAGACACTTCAGCTATACAATGTGGAGCAGTGGCCCAATTTAACTTAAAAGAACTAGCAATTTCTAAATATTAGTGAAGGTAGCTCACTTTGTCTCTACCCCATCTCTGCTGGTTCAAATAATATCTCTATGTCTATCTTACCTTCGTAATTCCTGCAATAACCAATCTTGGAATTCCTTCTCAGCGCCCTCCAGCCTGTTCCACGCATTGTTGATGTCCTAGGAAGAAAATGTATAATGCTCTACTTAGTAAATAATAAGGCGGGCAGTTGGCGCCACTACTAGACGTTCCTTTCTTAGCCACACCCTAAGAGAGGGTACCACACCACACTCATTGATGGTAAATTTTCACACTTTCCCGAAGCAGTTTTTCCGTTTTTCACATGTCAGCTGTCTCGAATGATTCATCAACAAAAGCGACGACAACAATCTCATCATCATGAACACATAACATGCCTGTATATTTACATTTTTGGCAGGTAACCAAAAATCGTTTGCAGTTAGCGGTACCGCGTAACTTGCGAGCTACGACGGGGGACCAGGGGACCTTTTGGAGCAATTGGGCCTGAGAAAGTCAATTTTGGCAACAGGAAAGATATGACTCCGAGATTGACGGCTTGAGAATTGATGAATAGAAGAGAAAAATATGTGCAAACAATGTACAAAGTTTGAAAATAGAAAAGAGAATGTTATAGAAAAGAGACATCTATTAAATCTGGTCGGTGAATACTGCAAAAATACACTGTGACACTTTTAGCTTTAATATTCACTTGCAGATAAGGTTTCCTCGGATCTCAACAACAACAACAACAACAACAACAACAACAACAACAACAACAACAACAACAACAACAACAACAACAACAACAACAACAACAACAACAACAACAACAACAACAACAACAACAACCTCATCACCACAGATACAGTAACACCAATGACAATGACAACAGCAACAACAGCATTAACAACAACAACAACTCACATTAATCATTTTCCCTTCACTTGGAAGATAGGCTGGACGATTGTTTAAACGCAGTTTCGTTTGTAAAGTGTTGAACAACGTTTCCAGGTTTGCTTTATCTTCCACACGAGGTGGCTTCTCATTACCACGATATTTACGGTATTCTTCCAACTTTTTCTATAAAATAAACAACATGCACCAAACATTACTCATCGTACCCAATAGTTAATCTTGGGAAGTTGGGTTTAGGGCTCAAATTTTTTTGCAAAAGTTTACAGTAAATAGGAGAAAATAACAAGATTGTCACAACACCCAGTGTTGTCGTGTGAAACAAGATGTCTTTAAGACTGACAAGGCATACAAGATAAATCCTGAAGTAGTCGTAGTATTTATTGGAGGCGTGCAAATCCGATCGGATTCGTTCGGATTTCGGAACAAAAATATTCATTTCGGATTGGATCGGATTGATAAAGTTGTTTCGTAGTCGGACCGGACTTCGATATTCGAAATAAAATGAATTAATTATCCACGACAACGCGGTTGTCGCTGTATCATTCGTTTGATAATTCAATTGGACGTCACTTCGTCAGCTTCTTGACACGTATTTCTTCCTTTTATATTTATTTGGTTAAATTTCTACTTGAATGAGAAATTTATTTTATTAAAGGATTCTTCGGATCGGATCGGAATTCTTTATCAAAACTCGGATCGGATTAGACAATTTCGGAACGGATTTTAAACATTAGTCAATTGTCGGGCTATACACATCCAATCCGATCCGATGCACACCTCTAGTATTTATAGTCTTTACAAATTTCCTACTGACGGCTACTGTATATGAATATTTTTTATGAAACTTTTCCGCTGTAATTTAGGTATCGAGTTAGTAGATTAATTACCGTAGGTGTTTAATCATTTCAATAACTAGGTATCTAGAAATTTATATATTAATTATTCTATATAATTAGTGTAATTTTGAGAATTAGCCATAAAACATAAAAAATTGTCTGTGAAAAGTTCTGCAAAAATGTTGATCCCCAAAAAATTATGGGAACTACATGTAGGTTCCTAGGCTCCAATACGTTTTCCACCTCTGTGTGATTAGGCTATAATTGTGTTCTTTACTAAGAAAATCTCCTAAGATGCCAGAAACAGTGTTATCAAAACCTCATGATAGTGTTTGAATATTTTTTGGATACAACAGTTCAGCTACGACTGACATCTAAGACATCATACACATTATGCTAACGGCTAACCTTTACTCCAGGTAAGGTACCATCTGATGTTTGATCTTGAAGCCAAGGCATGGTTTTGTTGATCCAATCCAATAGCTATAGAGATGGAACATGGTCATGATTAGGATCACACTGTACAACATTGAACTGATATACGATATATATATATAAAACAATCTACTCACATCACTGGCAAGTTTCTCATATTCTTCCATTCTGCCTTCATTTTCCCGGTTCACGTCCAATACTTTGCAGATTCTCTTTGATGCGGTTTCAGCCTAGAAAAAGACATTGCAATACAATACACTGGTCCATGGAAGAGTGTACATGATATTGTATTGTAGGGATAAGCCGATAATTGTTTCTTTATAAGTACAGTACAGTACAGTACAGTACAGTACAGTACAGTACAGTACAGTACAGTACAGTATAGCACAGAACAGTAGAATTCGATGTACAATTCGTTTGTCTTTTCGAACATTTTACATGCATGCCTACTGTAGTTTACAGTAGGCATGCATGCTCTTTATTACGTTCTTTGTATGTTTGCATGGTGATAAAATATAATAGTTTTGTTTGTGGAAACACCACGTAAATTTATTACTGCAAAGCTTTCGATCCGTAAGCCCGGATCTTCATCAGTGCTTGTTCTTTATTGTTATAATGATAAATGTCCTTCATATTCCCGTCACATTACAAGACATCCCATCCCAAAAATGAACATGACAAATATAGTTATTCAATAATAATAATACAATCAATTTGTAGATGCCTGCACATGCAAGCAAGCGAAACTTGTCATGAAAAGTCTGTCAAGGAAAACCTTCTGGGTGCAACACCGCGGAAAAACGTCTGCGCATGCGTCAACCTTACCTGTAATAGTATTGCGAACTTGATGAGAAGCTGTTCCGAACGTTTCCGAAGGGTCAACATGGCGGTAAAAAGGAGTGACGTCATTGTGCGTCAAATACAGCCAGAAGGTTCAAGAAATTGTATTGTACAAGAACATGAAGTAAAGGTGATTGTTGACAAATTTATCGTCTGAAACATTTTGTTTATCAACTAAGCAACGACAATTTCCGAATTTTCGTTTAAGATACGTTTCTTTAAAAAAAAACCAAATATAAAAAATTTTCGTGTTCACAATAATTAAACTATAGGATTTATTCTACAATTTGAGTGGGTTAAGAAGCTTAACTTTTCGAGAGTTTTCTTAACTTTTTAGTTTTAATTTTTGTTTTGAATAATTTTGCAAAAATTTTCGAAGTCCTGTCCGTTAAAATCAACAATTTTTTACATAAATTATATTTCATTCCATACTTTAAATGCCAGGACGCTTTCAATTAATGTCTAGTCTACCCATTTGCTATATTTTCTCGTTTGTTTTACTAATTTTTGACCAATTAATAAGCATGTTTTTGTTTTAGAAATTGATATTCAAATTACCCGCCATATTTTCATAATTTGGTGCATGCGCAGACGTTCTTCCGCAGTGTTTTTGGGTGCGCATATGAGAAGGTATAAACTTATAAAAAAAACTTGCTGTGCGTTCAGCAGATGCGCAGTTTGTTTACATTTTGAAGACATTATATTCATAAAATATAATGCACTTAGTTAATATCTAATATCGTTCTGAATTGCTATATGCTTTTAAATGGATATAGATTAGTGTTTCAATTTAGAAGATATGAAAACAACACGAAATTTGGGTATTGTTTACACCAGACATAGCATCCTCACATGGCACATGCGCAGAACAGAATTGACCTCATCTTTAATGACATAATTTGTCCTAATGAGCAACTACAGATATATGGACCAATTAGCCCACATACAGTATCTCGTATGTATTGGATTTGAATTTATCATTATGGTATCAGCCCAGTCCTATTTACATGAATAATCATAATGATTATGAACATTATCATATATTCAAATACCTGTTGAGAGCTTGAGAAAGCATGATAATACGAAGAGACATAGGTCATCACAGCACGTTCATCCGGCTTCTCCATACTTGCCATTTCTAAATAATAAATATTGAAATACATGTCACAACGACCACCACCAGGTCAAGGTGGAACTTGGAGAAAGCACTGCAACTCTAGCTTCAGCTGACCAAAAACTGCTGGCAGAACTCCAGCCTCGGATGCACAGCACTACCACTCCAATGTCCAGATTCATTACTGGAAATGCTATATTACTGTCAATGCAATAGAAGTGTTGATAAAATATTGCATCAATTTATTTCCTCAAGTTGATCAATACATACGAATTCAAATTTCTTTTTACTTTCTGTGCGTTTCCTATTGGTTAATCGGTTCTGAAACGAAATCTAATTGCCTCATCTAGAAGTAACAGGAAGTTGATCAATTTTCTATCAAATGAATTGATCAACTTGAGGAAAGGAATTGGTGCAATATTTTACCAACACTTCTATTGCATTGACAGTAAGCTCTGGCCCTCAGCCCCCAAAGAGGCTTATTTATGGCAGGTATATTGTTATTAACTTTCAAAAGAACGACCTTTTGGGGAGAGGTGTTTAAAGAAGAGAAGCTATGTGATCAATTAGGCAGAAATGCATTCAGTAGATAAAATACACAGTAAACGTGGCCATGGTAGGGGGTTATATATTGAGGGAGAAAGTTAATATTAAATAATAAGATTATCATCACAAGAATTTTTGTACCTTCAGCATCCAACATTTTGGGTATGTCCAAATGTTTTTCAGCCACTTCAAAAGCAAGGTTAAGATTGTGCACAGGGTTATCCTACGCAAAGAAATTAAATAAAATTATACAGGTATGTCCAGGACTCGAAATAGAAAAAATATATTCATTGTTTTCTGATTTTATCTTGCAACCTCGAATAAATATTAAAAAACCCGAATATTAAAAAAAAAATTTAACTGCAATTTATATTTTGAACTGCCAAAATGGTCCCATTTTGTTATGAAAGAAATGAGTGTTAGATTTTTTCATGTACTTCTTACACATATATTTTCCCTGGCCTAAACGGTCTCTTTTAACTTTTAACCATTCTCCATTGTGCAAATCACTATATGTAAGCAAATGAGGTGAAACAATATCTAGAATTTCGCCTGCCATTTTAACTTTGCAGTTCAAAATTATTTTTGCCTGCCATTTCTCAAATATGGCATGTTTTTGGCATTGCCAGCCTATCTACCTATATGGTAAAGAAATTTCACAGTGCCAAAAGGGAAATACAATGCCAAAACATGAAATTACAGGGACAAAAGTAAGGATGCTGGCAGGGTTCGAATTAAATATTTAAAAGTGGATAGCGAATTTCTACCCATTGACTCGTGCAATAAAAAGTGAATAGCGAATTTCCACCACTGTACAATAAAAAAGGATTGAGCATTCGATCTTCAACCAGAAAGGCTGTTATAATAATAAAGATTCAGCAGTCTTTATTTTTTGGCAACAACGAGAGAAAACGAAGATGTAAAATTAAATCATTTCAATTTCCAATATCACCCGTAAAAATTTGCGCAATATCTAAAAGAGTTATTAAAATTAAAATGCATATTTATTCAAAGTTAGAGTAAATTAAAGTACAAACAAAATACTGTACATATAAAAGTAAACATGGCAAAGCTCAGAAGCAAAAAAAGAAACTGGCATACATCGCATACTACACATCATGAATTAAACTAGAAAGTTATTGAACATTTTGATTTGGGTTTTAAACATAGTAAGTGATTGTGAAATTCTAATCTGATTACAGTTGCATGAACGTTGCATGACATTTGACCTTTTCCTAAGTGGATTTTGACACATTTTTATAATGCCAGCCTATCATATTAAAACATTAAATCAAAACACATCTTGAGGCCATTAGGAAAGGCGCAATTTTATTGTCTATTCAGAAATATCAGCGCATATGAGAGAATGTTTCCCTCAAAATACACAAAGAATTGTTTGAAAACAAACGTTTCCAATGTTATCCGTTTTACTTTTTCACATGTGAAATCTTCTCAGGTTGAATAGTGATTTTTTGTTAATTCGAACCCTGGATGCTGGGTTTGGTGGACAATCCAAGTGAGCATATATATACACACACAATTTAGACCTAACCAGGAACGGTTGAGAAAAATGCAACAATATAGTTCCTCTGGCAGGAATCAAACCTGCTGCCATGAGATTCCGGTGCAGCGCTCTAACCAACTGAGCTATACAGAGGCCACTTGTTGAGCTGTAACCACAACTTCATGTATATATAGATTTACGGGTGTGTGGGAAGGTGAACTTGAAAGATGTTTTCGTATACTTATAATTCCAGTGTGTATATTATATGCTCACTTGGATTATTCACCAAACCCAGCATTCTTGTAGTTCAGCAGTGGCGGAAATCTTGGGGGGTGCACCCCCCACACACAAATTTGACCTAAAAGAGGGCCTTTTAGAGAGGCCCACCGAGGGTGTGATCCAGGTTGCTTGTCACTCATTTTGTAGCTGCTTTGTCGCTTGTTTTATTGTAATAAATGTCGCTGTCACTTTTGGCCCATAACACAAATCAGAATTTGTCGCTTTTTCCCAGCCAGGAGATGTCATTTATTGCTCTTTTTTAGATAGTCTGTCACCTCTTTTTAAGGAATGTCGCCTGTCGGTCATAACCCCTTGGTGGGCCTCTTTAGAGTGCAAATGGGGGGGTTAGAAGTCCCGGAAAGTTTTTGTTGGAAATTTAGGGGGGCTTGCCCCCCCCCCCCCCATCAGAAAAAGTGAATTTCTGTCACTGTAGTTCAGCCATATGAAGTGCAAATTACACATCATTTAAGTTCACCAAAAATAAGAATTATGTGTCAAGTGCCAAAATGAAAGACACTTTTGATTTAAGTTTTGACTTCTGACACTTGTGACATTCAGATGGGAGAGTAATTAAATTACTAATTTCCAAGTGTTTTAATTAATAAGCATGCAAATGATAACAAATTTTCTCATTCAATTTGAATAAACACTTGTGAATTTTTCAAATTGCACCCATTCCTTGAACAATTTTCCAAATTGAGCTTATAGAGATATCTACTATTACCTAAACAAAACATTTTTCAGTTCAATATTTGTCCCTTTGTTCCTGGGAGGAAGCTGAATATTGAATAAAGAACATTGCTTTAAAATTTAAGGAATATTGAATATTTGTGGAGAAAAGGGAATACAATATATTCGCTGTTTTGTTATAGAAGAATAAGGAATATGCAAGACTTGGCATAAAGAATATCAGAAAATAGTTAGGGATAGGGAAGTGTCCCTTGTGTTGGAATTGCGAGTGAACCTTGGATAAACTTAACTGGCATCATGTTATGACTGAAGCCTGGTAAAATATTGGTTACCTGACGTGTACTAAATTATGCATGTCCGGACTTGTATAACCAGATTTGATATTAACTCATTACTGGTCATGCCAGACTCTCCCCTTCAAGAGCAAAATTATATCTGGCATTAGACAGAGTAAACTAATAAACCCAGGCACATTGCAGCTTAATTAATGGATTATTAAAGTGCTTATGAAACGAAATTTTTGCCTCGATTTTTATTGTCTTATTAAAAGGTACTGCTTAAATGATGAAGAATGACGTTTACAGTTTGTGCGTATCTCATCTCATTCCCAAGTTATCGCACTTTCTATATTTTGAGTTGTGACGTCACTAGTTTGACTCAAAATAGTGGCAATAACAAAGAACATCTGATATCTTGATGATCATTTAATAAAATTCAATGAAACTTGGCACATTTAGTGGGTGCAACGAAGTGAACAATTTGGCTTGTTTATGTGGTTGTTATGGCAACACACTCGTCCCCAGTCCCTTCTCTTCCAACTTCCATATGATCCATTTCCAACGAAATAAATAATAATTTCTGCAATTGTCGCTTATAACTATAATACGTGTAGGTATTGAGATCAGTTTAAGCCGTTATAATATGCAAACATCCTCTGCAAGAGGTCTACAAGAGGAAATTTGTGAAAAGGAAGAGAAGAGGCTGGAGACTAGTGTGTTGCCATGACAACCACATGACCTGCCAAAAATATTCATATGGGTGCACCCACTAAGTGTACCAAGTTTCATTGAATTTTATTAAATACTCACTAAGATATCAGATATTCTTGTTATTGCCATTATCTCAAGTCAAACTAGTGACGTCACAAGTCAAAATTTAGAAAGTGCGATAACTTGAGAATGAGATGAGATATGAAGAAACTGTAAACGTCATTCTTCCTCGCTCTAGCAGTACTTTTTAGCAAAACAATAAAAAATCAGGTGAAAATTTCGTTTCATAAGCACTTTAAATATCCAAAGATATCCCAACGCAGTTTGAATAAACCACTTGGCACTTAGTAAATTTAAAGCACAAGATAGTACGCTTTCAATTATTAAGAAGGGGATTTAGCACATTCATCACAAGGATATTGTCCCCGAGCCAACGGCGCGGAGCGCCGTTCCGGGCGTAAATCCGGGCGAGGGTACTAATTCCGCCCGGCTATTTAAAGTGAAGTTTAAAGTTCTTCAATGATCGCGGGCGTGACCAACGGTGTTGAGTGGGTGGTCATCGCTGATCTCAAAATATGGCTGTTTGCCAGGAGTGAAGAAGGCAAAAAATAAAAAAAATACATGTAAGAAAGCTTGGAAAATCGTTTCACCAGGGCTGTAAATACTCGTTACAAAAGCTGTTATTGTAATTGAATACGTCTATGCTACGGACCAGCGGTATCTGCATTATTTTGACATGGAGACGAGGTTATAGTGTCATGTTTTGTGTTTTTTGACCCTTTAGCCTCGTTTTCGTGCGTACTTCCACTGAGATACCGCTGGTTCGCCGCAGCAGCGTATTCAATTACGATAACAGCTAGTGTAACGCGTTACTGTGTACTCGTTACATTTGATGTAATTATAACCTGTAATTAATTACGTTTTTAGAAATGTAACGAAAAACGTAATTAATTACAAAAGCAAGGAACGTGTTCCTTTTCCAAGGAGCAAATCGATAATTCCATTTCTTATTCTGTTAAAAATTAGAAATAAAAAATACAACGTTACGACAAAAATTCAGAAAAATGGCTGAAATAATTTTCAACGAGATCACATGACATGATAGCCTACATGAAGTATTATTTATTGCAAAGTGGGAACCACAATTTGTTCCGAGGCTCAGAGCACCAAATATTGACAAATAAAGTTTTAAGTTTACATGCTTCGATTTGCATGTCAAATGTTTTAATACCGTAAACCTCCGACTTATATACTTTCGTAAGCGATTTTTGATGGACTTATACAAGGGGGGGGGGCAAGGGGGGGGGCGCTTATATACGGGGTCTAATACATGGACGATCTTTTGTGTTAGTAGTAAAGAAGTCAGACATAAACAAGTCAGTCATCAACAGGAAAATAAGCATGTTTTAATAACGCGCTTTGATTAACATAGTCGGCTGTAAAGACAATGAGTCAACGACAATGTTTTAAATATCGTTCTCTGCTATAATAAAAGACAATGTCAATGTTGAATAACGTTGTGGGCTACTGGGCTTATATTCGGGGGACTTGTATTTGGGGAGCTTATATTCGGGGGAGGGGCTTATATTTGGAATGAGGTGAGCGTTAATATATGTGGTGGGCTTATAATAATAATAATATAATTGTTCTTTAAAACGCATTATACATGAGTCTCAATGCTTTTTACAACAAGAATCTAAAAATCTAAAAACAGTTACTCAGTAAAAGCTATCCTAAAAAGATATGTTTTCAACTTTGCCTTAAACTCATCGATAGTTGGACTTTGCTTAATAGAGTCAGGAAGATTGTTCCAGAGTCTCGGAGCAGCGCAGGAAAAAGACTTCTCGCCATATGTCTCTGTTCTCACTCTAGGCACAGTTAACAAATTTTGACTGCTGGAGCGCAAAGTACGGGCAGGGATATGACGACGAAGTAGATCGGTGATGCACGAAGGGGCAATGCCATTAAGATCTTTATAGGTCACCAAAAGGAGTTTGAAAGTCACTCGTTGTTGCACAGAAAGCCAGTGGAGATTAGAAAGTACCGGTGTTATATGCGCAGATTTCCTTTCTCTGACGACTAATCTGGCAGCAGTGTTTTGTAGCCTTTGCAACTTCTGTAATTCACAAGAAGGAAGGCCGTAGAGCACGCCGTTGCAATAGTCAAGTTTGGATGAAATAAAAGCATGAACAAGACTTTCGGTGTCCTTTCGTGAAAGATATTTTCTTATTTTACCAATTTGATGTATTGATTGTGAAGCCGAACGACATATGTTATTAATATGCACTTTGAAAGTAAGGCAGGAATCGAGTGTAACTCCTAGATCCTTTACTTTGTTTACGGGTTGTACATCATGCCCTCCTACTTTGATGGGACGAAGAGGACAATCAGGTTTCATGTAACGTGGATAAAAATGAATTACTTCCGTCTTTGATGGATTACCCATAAGCGTATTGCAAGTGATCCAATTCATAACGTCGTCAATACAGGCTTCCATCTTTTCAGTTGCGATAATGCGGTTATTACGATTCAGAAAAATATAAAGTTGAGAATCATCAGCATACATCATGGCATCTATTCCATGGGACATGATCACATCTATTAATCATTTATTAATCCTTTATTAATCATTTATTAATCCTATAGTTTATTGTTAGCAAGTGATTACTGTGGCGGCTATTGTATGTAATTTTGTCTCCTAGCTTGTAATAAATAAATCACGCAATGAATCTTTTCAACTTGCAATCGTTTTGTTTTTAGATCAAAAATTCAAAATTAATATGGGGGGGGGGCGAAATCCTAAAGGGGGACGATATTCCTAGGAGATTCGCCCCCAGTGGCGTGCTGGGTACTAATTTTCTGGGGGGGCCAGTGGGCTTTCAACTAATAACGCTTGATAAACGAGTGTCGAAGGCACGAGCCGAGCGCCGCAGGTGCGAGGTTTCTCTAGGGGGTCCGGGGGCATGCCCCCTCGGAAAATTTTTGAATTTAGGGTCTCTGAAATGCTATTTCCTGGACTTTGGGGGGAAGGTTTGACAGAAATCTGATGGTCAGGAAACGGCATTATAACGTGTTGAAATTTGCAATTTGGTTAGAATTTAGTAGTACTGTAGTACTTAAATTGGGCAATGCTAACTCAGTTCCAGCGATTAATCTAATCCCAATTCTATTCTCTACTGATCTGGTGATCTGAATACATTTACAACATACAGCTCTTTTATATAATAACGGCACGGCACGGACCCCACGCATATGCACTTTAAGGTTACCTTGCTTGACTGCCAAAAGGGCGCCGGTTTCAACTAGCATTATCTTGTCACTTACATTACTCATGAGTCATGATGTTTCTTGCACAAACAACTAAATTGCGTGCACAACTTACATTATCATAACTAATTTGCGTCGCTCTCGTGATTCGTGAAGCATAATACCTTCATAATGTAAGGGCATAATACCAGCAAAAACGGGCATAATTCCCGTGATCGCTTCGAAACCTGACCAATATTCCGGTAATGAGACATTGTGTGTGATCACTGATCATGTTTCTATATGAACGATTTTGTGTGAGCCGTGAAGTAGCAAATTAGCAAATACGGTTAGACCAAATAGTCTGTAATTTAATATATCACTTTGTCGTCTATGCGCTTAGTCTCGATCTGTTTATAAGCCTATATAAATATATACTTCTTGACGGAAGTAACTATATTTTTCAAATGAGTTTTTTCCCACCCACTTTCAAAATTCCGCACGGGACGGCGCCCCCTTTTCATTTTTGCGCCCCCCAAGAATTGCTAGCTGGGGGGGCCGTGGCCCCCCGGCCCCTGGCTTACGCCACTGATCCTAACTGATCCACTCTGTCAACTTTCCCTGTGCGAGGAATCCGGAGCACCCGGAGAGAACCCACGACTTTGGGCAGAGCGTTGACTAACTCTTTTCACATGAGTCCGTGGCAAGAATAGAACCCACGTTCTCAGAGGTGTAAGGCGCTTGCTCTGACCGCATCTGACGACTGTGCCACCGAAGTCTGGCATCGAATGAAATTAATAGTACAGTTCAAGCCGATCGAGGTTAAGGTGGCTCAATACAGTTTTAAAAAAATGAAATTTTACGATTTAGATGCGTATTTTTGGACAATTATTACTTGTTGATAAACAAAAAGTACCTTACTTATATAAAACAACATCTAAAAAGTTTGAATTTTTGCACAAACGTTACGCAACTGGCGTTGCTATGGCGACAATGACGTTTCAAGATGGCGGATATTTTGGCTTTAAAGTAATTTAACTCGTAAACGACATCGGTGACCCCCAAATTTTATTTAAAAAAATGATTTCTCTTAATATAATAAATTATTTTGACAATTTAAAAAAAATTATGTGGAGCCAATTATGAATAATCACCTTTACATGAATTTTGCATTGTACGTACTACCTGTAATAGCCAAAAAAGAAAAGCTAGTTAATCTGTCTCCTGGGGAAAAATGCCTCTTGCTCCTTACTCCAAATCACTAACCACTGTCATTCCAGCTGTGAAACCGATTCCGTCGCGAGTTTTTAAAGCCTTGAAATATCTCAGTGATCATAAAAAACTGGGTTTTTTATCTACGTACAAAGATATATCATTAACATATCGATGTAGGGCGACCTGATATTAAATTTGGCGACCAGATCTTATTCACGTATGGCAACAGATCTTATTCGGACGACTAAAATATTTTTTTTAATCCCATACAAAAATCCCAAACTCGAAAAAAGTATTTCAACTGTTTTATAATATTGCTTGAGTCTTGAGGCAACGATTTTGACACAGTTTTCGACGATTATTTAACGCCGTTTACAGTTCATCGACAAGTTGACAAACACAACTCAGGTTGTTTTAAAAACATGAAAACACCTCCTTTTGTTTGAAGAAAAACGAAACCAGACGAAGAATGTTCGAAATATGATTTTGGAATTTCACGAGATATTAGCAAAACAGTGACGCTCAGTGTAAATTATGTTGTAAGAGTAAATTATGTTGTAAGAGTAAATTATGTTGTAAGAGTAAATTATGTTGTAAGAGTAAATTATGTTGTAAGAGTAAATTATGTTGTAAGAGTAAATTATGTTGCAAGAGTAAATTATGTTGCAAGAGTAAATTATGTTGTAAGAGTAAATTATGTTGTAAGAGTAAATTATGTTGCAAGAGTAAATTATGTTGCAAGAGTAAATTATGTTGTAAGAGTAAATTATGTTGTAAGAGTAAATTATGTTGCAAGAGTAAATTATGTTGTAAGAGTAAATTATGTTGTAAGAGTAAATTATGTTGTAAGAGTAAATTATGTTGTAAGAGTAAATTATGTTGTAAGAGTAAATTATGTTGTAAGAGTAAATTATGTTGTAAGAGTAAATTATGTTGTAAGAGTAAATTATGTTGTAAGAGTAAATTATGTTGTAAGAGTAAATTATGTTCACTTCGTTGTAACGAGCCTTTACAAGGGGGGCTTATATTCGGTGGTTTGCGGTATGGCGTACTATAATTTATTGACATAATTTACCTATCGTTTGGTCGCACTTTTGAACGCTATTTCAGGCTCTGTATACTGATTATTAAGATATTTACTTGTTCTTTATTTCTTTGACTGTTTTTTTTTTCTTCAGAGTCTTGAAGGTCACCAATGTCCAGTGAGCGGCGTAACATTCAATAAATATCATATTGTTAGCTCAAGTACTGACTGCTATGCACTAGCCTGGAGTGCGATCGGCAAGCATACGAAATGCCTACAAGCATTCAGACACCCCAAGGCAGTACATTGTATAAAGTTATTGCACTGTCGTGTCATCACTGGGGCAGCCGATGGAAAGGTGATGTTGTTAATTAGTATTCTGGGGCCGTTTAAAATTTAACCAGCAGCTTTGGTTTAGGTATTCTGCGCGTATTTTATTTCAAAACTTCAGAAAATAAAACTTCTGATGGCCCAGACAAGATTTCTCGAAAAAA